TGTGGTTGGATTGCTCTTGGKTTGTAAGAGTTAAGAACCTCAATGAGSAAAGGATGTTTATGGTTTTGGCTKTGTTTATATKGTTCTGGYCTGTGAWGAAAGTTGTTTACTTGGATAATTGGAAGACTGATTATGAGATTTACCCTTATTGGCCATCAAGATGGCAATGATTGGATCTTGATGTTAAGGTAATTGATTTAGTTTTCAAGTTTCTAGAACAGAGGAATCATGTTCTTGAGAGATACTGCCACTAGTTTCCGGTTAGTTATTCATCTGAGTGAGATCATATAYTCTAGTTTATGGATTATAGAATCATTAGAAGTTTAGGATCCACCATTGTTTGATCTTCTTTGTGTTGTTCTCTTGGAATCATTTACCAAAATTTGGATGATCGAATTAGAGGAATGATTGCTCTAGGAGTTTATATATATGCCTATGGTCATAGTTCTGCATCTATTGAGGAGAATACTTGATTATTATGGTCAAGCAATCAATTTGCTCATTTTCCCAATAACCCTTCTATATTTACTACCTATAATCACAAAAACACCAACAAAATAAGTTGGGGTTCTAATGTTAATTCCAATACAATTAATATTATAAAATTCATATATTACCCCAACATATATACTACCTATAATCATACTCTTAGTATATTAGGGGGGTGCTTTGCAATAGTCTTTTAAGGCTTTAGAGAATTCTACAATTTTTAAAGATTGTTTTTTGCCAAACATGCTTTAAAATCTTTATTCATTTTAAAGTTTTAAAAACTTGTCTTTAAACTTTTTTGTCTTGTTTTGCTCTTTTTTTTCTAAAGACAGTAAATAAGGCTTTAGCCATTAAAAAATAAATAAATTTATTTATTTATTATCTTTCTCCTTTCCCAAATGTATTTAAAACTCTTTGTAGATTTATACATTGTTTATTACTAAAATATTTTGATTGATTAATTATTATATATTCTTTTGAGATCTATTTTAAGTATATTTAAATATATTTTTAATTTTGCTAAAGAATGATTTATTTTGATATTAAAAAAATTATTTAGTCGAATAATATAATTTATATGTGTCGGACGAAACTTATATGTGTGTACTTCAACATGTAATCTTGGAAAATAAAAAAAACTGAGATTATTTTAATCTATTATCCGCTTGATAATGATTAATTATATTAATAATAATACAATTTTTTTTATTACTATGATTTTGTATTTTTTTGTTGATAGTTATTTTGAAACTAATTAATTATGCTACTAATATTAATATTTTCATAATTTATATTATTGACAAAAAGTTTTCTGTAATTATTAAAATAATAGTTACAGTTTCTACAGTTTGTATAACCAAACAAACTTCTACTTATATTTAAAGTAACAATTACAACATTAACAGCCAAAATCTCTACAGCCAAAAATCTACAGCAAAAGTCTACAGTTACAGATTTGAAAGACACTTACCAAACACCCCTAGATCAACTTTTATCACTAAAAATGATTAAAGATCTCTTACAAGGTATTTACTGGGTTCGTGAGAGTTTGAGTTATTATATGTTATTACACAATACAAATATATTTTAAGAGATTAAGATGTAAATATATATATACTATTTGTAAGGAATTGAAGAATAAATAATGATGATATTAGTGTTACAAGTGGGGTAAATATAATATATGGGAATATGCACAGGTAAAATTTGCCAAAAGTACAATAAAAAAATTATAATTTGAAAACTAACAAAAAATCCCAAATCCAATGGCTTACAATTTGTCGCATACCCCATTTTTCTAACTTTTTAAATTTTTTTTTTTCTTAGTTATTCACAAAAAAACCCATATATGCATATGTATCCATTACTTCTAGCAAAAAAAAAAAAAAACATATGTATCATACTCGACATTACTAACATTTCTCTAACATTACAAGATAGAGCAACCATTGTTGGTTTTCAACGTGTATTACATTAGTGGCTGCCGAGATAGAGCCACCAAATGGATGCCGAGATAGATCCACTAATACACGTTTAACATTTCTCTAACAT